AGAAATAAATAAAACTTAAAAAAAAAATATGACTCAGATGGTTTTTTACTTTCTGTCCTCTAGGTGTCACTTATGCCTACAGAAAAAGAAAGACTACCTCAAGATAATTATGTATATTGAGCGTTAAAATTACAGGGAGAGTTTCTATTTGATCTTCTACTTAAAAAAAAAAAGTTTTTACAATGCATTCACATAAAAATACAGTTTTATTTGATATAGTGACAAATTATATTTTAAAGGTATAATTAGTATAATTAAAATTTTAAAATATTGCCTAATTATGTGTCCTGTAGTCATCAACCTATTCAATGATAGAATTGGTCCCACTTTGAAACAACACCTAGTCTAGGACAAGACCCTCTCTTTTTTCCTTTTTTCTTTTTTTTGACAGGCAGAGTGGACAGTGAGAGAGAGAGAGACAGAGAAAGGTCTTCCTTTGCCATTGGTTCACCCTCCAATGGCCACCGCGGCCGGCGCGCTGCTGCCAGCGCACCGCGCTGATCCAATGGCAGGAGCCAGGTGCTTCTCCTGGTCTCCCATGGGGTGCAGGGCCCAAGCACCTGGGCCATCCTCCACTGCACTCCCTGGCCACAGCAGAGAGCTGGCCTGGAAGAGGGGCAACCGGGACAGAATCCGGTGCCCCACCGGGACTAGAACCCGGTGTGCCAGCGCCGCAAGGCAGAGGATTAGCCTAGTGAGCTGCGGCGCCGGCTAAGACCTTCTCTTAAAGCATCCAACAAAACAGCAGATTCCATAGCAGGTACTTTCTCACACTCCTGCTGAGAAACACTGCAGATCCCAGCAGCATGAGCTCTCCCTCTGTGCCCATCCGCAGGTAATAAGCCCAAAGAGCCCATCTGCAGGTGTGTTCCCGTGGGTTCTTGATTCCAGGGCTCAGACAAGTCCACTGCATTCACTGGCACGGGGGCTGTGAAGCCAGCTTGGCCAGTGATGTGTTTCTTCCTTTTGCTTTTTCAAAACTTTTAAAAATCCAAGTTAAATTCCCATAAACAAATTGGTTGGATAGTTTTGTTTGTTTGTTTGTTTTGTTTTTTTGACAGGCAGTGTTAGACAGTGAGAGAGACAGACAGAAAGGTCTTCCTTCTGTTGATTCACCCCACAAATGGCTGCTACGGCCAGAACTACGCCGATCCAAAGCCAGGGGCCAGGTGCTTCCTCCTGGTCTCCCATGGGGTGCAGGGCCCAAGCACTTGGGCCATCCTCCACTGTCCTCTTGGGCCACAGCAGAGAGCTGGACTGGAAGAGGAGCTGGACAGAATCCAGTGCCCTGACTGGGACTAGAACCCAGGGTGCCGGCACCGCAGGTGGAGGATTAGCCAAATGAGTTACGGCACTGGCCTGGTTGGATAGTTTTAACTAGACAACTGTCCCCTTTAACTGTCCCCTTGTCTAGAGGAAAAATGAAAAAACTGATTACTTTAATGAAAGATGGTACTTAGGGGCCAGCGTTTGGTGCAGCTTAACAGTGCCTGGGGTTGAGCCCTGGTTCTTCTCCCAAGTCTAACCTCGTGCTAACGTACACTCTGGCAGGCATCAGGTGATGGTCCAAGTCATCAGATCCCTGCAACCCACATGGGAGACTTGGATTGAGTTCCAGCTCCTGGCTTCAGCCTGGCCCAGCCCCAGCTGTTGCAGGACTTTGAGGAGTGAACCAGTGGATGGAAGCTTTGACCCTTTCTGTCTTTCAAGTAAATAAATAAATTTAAAAATAAGATAGGAAGTAATGTGGATGTTGAGTGTACTAAGAATGAAAAAATACAGATCTATGAATAAGCACAATCATATATCATATTTTAATATATATCAATTTATTTGAAAGCCAGAGTTACGGGGTGGGGGGCGGTGAGAGAGAGAGAGAGAGATAAAGAATCTTCCATCTATTGGTTCACTCCTCAAATGGCTACAGTGGTTGGGGCTAGGCAAGGCCGAAGCCAGGAACTCCATCTGGGTCCCATGTGGGTGCAGGGGCCCAAGTACTTGGGCCATCTCCTACTGCTTTTCCAGGTGCATTAGCAGGGAACTGGATCAGAAGTGTAGCAGCCAGGGGCTGGCACTGTGGCGTAGCAAGTAAAGCTGCCGCCTGCAGTGCTGGCATCCCATATGGGTGCTGGTTCAAGTCCCAGCTGCTCCTCTTCCAATCCAGCTTTCTGCTATGGCCTGGGAAGGCAGTAGAAGATGGCCCAAGCCCTAAGGCCTCTGCACCCACATGGGAGGCCATGAGGAAGCTCCTGGCTCCTGGCTTTGGATTGCCACAGCTTCGGACATTGCAGCCAACTGTGGAATGAACCAGCAGATGGACGACCTCTCTCTCTCTCTCTCTGTCTCTCCTTCTCTCTCTGTGTAACTCTTTCAAATAAATAAATAAATCTTAGAAAAAGAAAAAAGTGGAGCAGCCAGTACTCCAACTGGCACTCTGACATGGGATAACAGTGTCACAGATGGTTTAATCCACTGTACCACAGTAGTATTGGCCCCCTCTTTATTTTTTTAAATATTTATTTATCTTTTTAAATAACCCTAACCTCAACCCTAATCCTAGTCCAAGCCCTAGCCCTAGCACTAGCCCTAACCCCACGGCTAACCCTAACCCTAACCCAACCTTAACCATACCCTAACTCTAACCCTACACTTAGACCTAGCTCAAATCAAGTTCTTGCCCTAGCCCTAGCCCTAAAGAGAAGGAGAGGCAGAGAGAGAGAGAGAGAGAGAGAGAGAGAGAGAGAAAGAGATCTTCCATCTGCTGGTTCACTCCCCAATTGGCCGCAATGGCTGGAGCTGCCCCCATCTGAAGCCAGGAGCCAGGAGCTTCCTCTGGGTCTTCCCATGTGAGTGCAGGTTCCCAAGGACCTGGGCCATCCTCTATTGCGTTCCCAGGACATAGCAGAGAGCCAGATCAGAAGTGGAGCACCTGGGTCTTGAACCAGTGCCCATATGGGATGCCAGCACTGCAGGCAGCGGCTTTACCTGCTACGCCACAGCGCCAGCCCCGGCCCCTATTTATTTTTATCCAAAGAGTATTTTCTTTCTTGAAACATATACATTTTAAGTAAAAATATATTTTCCCTAATCAGATTAATGTGCCTAAACCTGTAGTTATCTAGAAGAGAAATACTTAGTGTGGCCAGGGATCTAGGATAGAAAACAGGGGCAGGACCGACCTGCTTTCTTTAAAAAAAAAAAAAAAAAAAATTATTTATTTATTTGAAACCCAGAGTGGGCCTGGCGCCGCAGCTCACTAGGGTAATCCTCCACCTATGGCACCAGCACCCCGGATTCTAGTCCTGGTCGGGGCGCCAGATTCTGTCCCGGTTGCTCCTCTTCCAGTCCAGCTCTCCGCTGTGGCCCGGGAAGGCAGTGGAGGATGGCCCAAGTGCTTGGGCCCTGCACCCGCATGGGAGACCAGGAGAAGCACCTGGCTCCTGGCTTCAGATCAGCGCAGTGCGTTGGTCATAGCAGCCACTTGCGGGGTGAACCAACAGAAAAAGGAAGACCTTTCTCTGTCTCTCTTTCTCTCTCACTGTCTAACTCTGCCTGTCGAAAAGAAAAAAGAAAGAAAGAGTAACAGAGAGAGAAGAAGAGACAGAGAAATCTTCCATCTGTTGGTTCACTCCCCAAATGGCTACAACCACCAAGGCAAGATTCAGAAGCATCACCCCAGTCTCCTACATGGGAGCAGGGGCCCAAGCACGTGGGCAATCTCTTGCTGCTTTCCTCAGGAACATTAGCAGAGCTGGCTTGCCAGTGGAGCAGCCAGGCCACCAACTGGCACCCACATGGATGCTGGCATTGCAGGCAGCGGCTTTACCTGCTATGCTACAATGCTGGCCCCGAAATCTTTTTTTTTTTTTTTTTTTTTTTTTGACAGGCCAAGTTGGACAGTGAGAGAGAGAGACAGAGAGAAAGGTCTTCCTTTGCCGTTGGTTCACCCTCCAATGGCCGCCGTGGCCGGTGCACCGCGCTGATCCGATGGCAGGAGCCAGGTACTTATCCTGGTCTCCCATGGGGTGCAGGGCCCAAGCACTTGGGCCATCCTCTACTGCACTCCCTGGCTACAGCAGAGAGCTGGCCTGGAAGAGGGGCAACCGGGACAGAATCCGGCGCCCGGACTGGGACTAGAACCCGGTGTGCTGGCGCCACTAGGTGGAGGATTAGCCTAGTGAGCCGCGGCGCCGGCCCCGAAATCATATTTTAAAAGCTGTAGCCAATAGCTATTTCTATGCTTGTATAGGCGTGCCTAAATTCATGCAAATGAATGTCTATTCTTCACTAAAGTTTGCTACGTAAATAATAAACCAAAGTAATAAATCATTATTTAAGTCTTTCATGTGAAAGTACTATGTTATGCCCGGATCATAAAAGGTTCTTTTGTCAACAAATTATTCTATTAATTCTGACTGCTTTTTGCTTGTTCTTCAACTATTCTTTTGTGATTCTGTTAGAGTACTGACCTAATTTTATCTGTTCATGGTTTTAAAACACTGACAGCCTTCAATCCACATCTGAAATACAAGCCAGGACCAGACTCCCAGCAGGCGGCGACACTGAGCACGTCCGCTCCGACCAGGCTGCGCCACCCCTGCAATCCGGCGCTCCCGCGGGCCAGCCCGGCGCAAGCGCACTTGCTTGGAGGAACAGGTGGCCGGAATGCAGCTCTTAGCTGGTGTCCGGTCCCTGCCACCCGCGCGGTTCTTCCTTTTGAGGAAAGAGGGGACATGCAACAGGTCTCCCCGGTAATCCCTGATCCTCGTCAAACCGCCGCAGCAGGCGCTCTTGGAGCTGCCGACGGCTGCCTAGAGCTTGGTCCTCCAAAACAGCCATTGGGCCACCGTGGCCCCTGGAGCAGTCGGTGCGGGCTCAGTAGTCCCCGCGAAGGTCAGCGCGCGCAGCAGGGTCAAGGGCATTGCATTGTGCGTTGCCTAGCAACATGGCTCGCCAGGTTCTTGCTGGGGGGTGCAGGGGTGGGGCTCCTCTCTGCCAGGGAGCAGTGGGGAAGGGGCTCTTTATGCGGCAAGAATTAAACTGCAGAAGGACTTGGAACTCGCAATCTACGAGGTGGGCAGAAACAGCTGCTGCAGTTCGCTGCCTTACCCCATGGGTGGAAAGGGGCACGAAGCAGGGTCAGGTCAGCGACACCCCCCCGCAAACACACACACCCAAGGCCCAGCTGTTCATGCCTTTTCAAAGGTCTGCCTATGCAGAATAAGAACATCGCACGTGAGTCCCAGAAACAGTTGTTCTTGTAGACATGAAAGCTAATGAGAGCTTTGGTGATTTTAATTTTAAATTCTATTTGTTCTCCCTTTTCATCTTGACCCCCATGATAGGGCAATGAAGCTTCTGTGTAGTCATCCTTTAGTGCTAGTCGCCAAGGTCTCTGTCACTGCACAGATAAGTGGGAATTCCCCAGATGGGCAAAACCCCTTTTTCCTCACTCTTAGAACTCCTCAAGGAAAAACGACCCTCCACCCTGGGAATAAATACACTACAAGCAAAGCTTATTTATAATGCAATGTGAAGGATATTTGTATAGAGTACATTGGGAGGTGTTGAAAGGGCCCTGGGGGTGTGCTTCCTGCCACAGGGGATAAACCACTGCTTAGGACACTTTCATCCCATATCAGAGTGCATGTGAGTCCTGGCTTCACTTCTGACCCAGCTCTATGGTGCCGCACATCCTGGAAGGCAGCAGGTAATGCCTCAAGTACTTGGGGCCCTGCCTCCCACTTGGGAGACCTGGATGGAGTTCTGGGCCCCTGGCTTCAGCCAGGCCATGTAGGTATTTAGGGAGTAACCCTGCAGATTGAAGATTCTCATTCTGTCTGTCTCTGTCTCTCTTTCTCTCTCTTTCAAATAAAACTTTTTAAAAGGAGGGGACAGGGTCTTTGATTCTCGTCTTTGACCACCTCGACAGTGCTGCTGGCAGGTGGGGGCTTGCTTTGTGACACGTCTTTGGATCTACATCTGAAATCAGGCAACCATGTTGCTCTAATATTGCTGCTGCTTTGCCATCGCATTGTGGTTCTCTCACGAAGGATTTTCATGAAACTCCAGTTTCAAATGTTTGAGCACCATCGGTTGGCCATCCTGAGATGTAGTGATCACGTTAAATTGAATGAGGCACTTGCTTCTGACAGTTAATAGCAGCCTCTTTGAACTCCTCTAAGACTTTTCTTGTCTGCATGATTCTAAGGAGTATTTATGTAGATTAACACTGTTCATTTAGTATAGTGATCAGCAAAGGATTACCACATGGGGGACTGAGCTCCCTGCTCCTGGCTTCAGCCTAGCCAAGTCCTCATTGCTGCAGGCATTTGGGTAATGAGCAAGTGGATGGGAGTGAGCTCTGCCTCTCCCTCTCTCTCTCTCTCTCTCCCCCTCTCTCTCTTGCTCCCAAATAAATGGTATTATTTCTGGGATATATGCATACACACACAAATGTAAACAACAATTTAAACATTTACACTGTAGCTTTAAAATAGTTGTAGGTATACTAAATAAAACAGTACACTGTATATCACATTAGTTATATGCATGAACTATACTTATGAAAATAAACAAACAGAAAATCACATCCTTAACATATACTCTTACCTATCTATGCAATCCTTATACCCAGTATAATCAAGTATCCATGTCAGTTACTATCTTTAGTTAAATCATCCTTTTTTTCTTTATCTAGACAATAAAGACACCTACAAGACAGAAAATTAAAACCTGCCTGCATAATTTTTGTAAGCATTTACTTCCTATTAATTAAATACTTAGAGAAGACAAATACAAATATGCATTATTATCCAAAGACATGTAGATATTTTATTAATCCAATGACATAATTTTAAGAACAAAGAGTCCACTAAAATTAGGTCTGGTAAGACTGTGCACTTGAAATGTGTTGTACTGTCCTTGCATTTATCTTGCTTCACTCTGGGAAGAAATAAGGAGGACATTTAAGGGAAGACTCTCAGACTGGAGTTGTGTACTCACACATTCTGTTCAGTACTACTGCTGGGAAGGGGTGTTTGCCCTACTGATTAAGATGCTGGCTGGGACACCTGCATCCCACAGCAGAGTACCTGGGTTTGAGCCCTGGCTTTGCTTCCAATTCCAACTTCCTGCTAATAGAAACCCTGAAAAGCAGCAGTGATGGTTCAAGCATTTGGGTCCCTGGGACCCATATGAGAGACCCGGATTAACTTCCTGGTCCCTGGCTTTAGCCTAGCCCAGGCCCAGGCGTTTTGGACATCTGGGGATTGAACCAGAGGATGGGAGCTCTCTTTGTCTCTCAAATTAAAAAAAAAAATCTTACTAAGATTTACTCTAATTTGCTCTGTTGAATTAGTCCGAGGGGTGTCACAACAGACTGGGGGGCTTAAACAGCAAGTGTTTATTTCTGACAGCTCTGGGGGCTGGGAGTTCTAGACAAAGGCAAATCCAGGGTGTGGTGGGGGCCCTGCACCCTGCTTGTGAGAGATGATACCGCCCTTGAAGGAAAAGCGTGCCTTTGCAAGGGACATGTGTGGCTCAGCTTACTGCAGGAGGCCACGAGGAGATCCTACAGAGAGGGATGTCTGACACTGAGCTTGTTTATAGGGTACTGCGGATTCTTGCCATTACGGCTGCTTGGGCTTTTTCTCGTTTGTGCCTGCCAGTCAGAATGTGCCCTGGAGCTGAATGACACGTGCTCCCCTGCCCATCGCGGCTTACTCCAAAGCAGCAAGGAGGGGCTTCTTTGCCAGGAGTGTGAGACAGAGCTCCTAGGCACTCATGTGCAAGTTTTTCAACACTACTTCCATTTTCCCAAGCCAAGATGCATGTGAGATTTCTATCACTAAAAAAGCCAAAATCTCAGAAATCCACATTCATCTCAATTACATTTTATGCCTGTGAGCTGTAAGTTGGAATACGATAAGGGGAACCTGAACACACAAGAGAAAATGAACACGTATGTATAATTGTTCTCAACCAGAACTTGATGTGAGTTAAAGCAAGTAGTACTGAGAATTGGATTCATGCGTTCAGACTAGCGGTAAAGAAGAAATCAGACACTAAGTTCTAAAGAAAATCCACATTATCTCTGGGAATTAACCCGTGTCTTATGTGAGGCCAATCAATGAGAACCACATAGTTGTGGTTCTATGTGAGAGAGATCATATCAACACAAATCAAAGCAGCACACTGGAAAATACACAGAAGTGTAAAAAGTTCCAAATTATACATAGCTCTCAAAAGAATATTCGTGGGGCCAGCACTGTGGCGCAACAGGTTATCGCCCTGGCCTGAAGTGCCAGCATCCCATATGAGTGCCGGTTTGAGACCTGGCTGCTCCTCTTCTGATCCAGCTCTCTGCTGTGGCCTGGGAAAGCAGAAGATGGCCCAAGTCCTTGGGCCCCTGCACCTGCTTGGGAGACCCGGAAGAAGCTCCTGGCTCCTGGCTTTGGATCAGCACAGATCCTGCCGTTGCGGCCAATTGGGGAGTGAACCATCGGATAGAAGACCTCTCTCTTGATCTCTGCCTCTCCTCTCTCTGTGTAACTCTGACTTTCAAACAAATAAATAAATCTTTAAAAAGAATATTCATATTGCAAGTTATAAGAAATCTAAGTAAAACTGGCTTAAAAGAATGTAAGATTTCATGTTCAGAATCAGCCTGGTGATGGTTCTGTCATTGTTAGGGTCAGAATCTGTAGGGGGGTAAGAATCATGTGAAGGAACAAATAAGGGGTCGCAGAGTGAACGTAGGGGTTAGGTCATGATGACAGCGAGGGGGTGCATGTTGAGGGGCAGGGTTCAAGGGGGATAAGTGTCAGGAAGAGTCTGGTACAGGGACACATATATCGTGAAGGGAGCAAGCTCTCCATTTCACATAGATCATTAAGGGGGAAGGTCAGATTGAGGATCAAGGTCAGGGCCTCCCCCATTGCAAGTTGAAGCAAGTGTTGGGCTTGGCCAGTCCAGCTGTAACCATGATTCTTCATGCCAGGGACCTCTCTGAGCCTGAGATGACTGAGGTGTAAAATCAGGGAGTGGATCCGATGCCCTTTTCAAATTCTATAGGAACTGTTCAGGCCCTGTTCTCTCCCGAGGACTCCACACCCAGCGATTCTCAGCTGGAGGGGTTGCCTGGCCCTGGATAGAATACCGTGTGCCTAGGTGTGAGTTCCAGCTCTGTTCCCTCAGAGGCAGCTGTGATGCCTCAGGTGTCTGGGCCCCTGCCACTCACATGCGAGACCTGGCTCAAGTTCCCAACTCCCAGCTGCAACCCAGCTGAGCCCCAGCTGCTATGGGCGTGTGTGTAGTGAATGAATGAATGGGAGCTGTGTGTGTGTGTATGTGTGTGTGTGCACACCTCTCAAATAAACACACGTGCATAAACAATAAGTTCACATTCCCAGTGGACAAAATTCATGGTAATGATCTCACGTCTCCTAATTCAGAGCCCGCCTCTTCCCCTACTGGGAATCAATGCAACTCCTGCCTAATGCCAGGGGTCAAGGAGATTCTGTGGAACTTTAGTTTCCATCATTTGTACTGCAAGAATAAGGGGCAGGTGGTTTTTGCTTGGCATTTTTCCAAAAATAAAAATTGCAATATGAAATCTGTGTCTTCAATAATCCTCCATCCCTCACTCCCTAGGAGATCCCAAGGAGCTTCCTCGGGCTGTCATTTTCAGGTCTCTTCTCACCTCCCCTTTGGGAAGCTCTGCTCTCAAATCATTTAAAGATATTGATTATCTGCTCTGCCACGGACGCTGTTCTCTTGCTTTTTGTCCTGGTTGACTGTGCGTGGTGTCAGTTTTCAGATAAGAAAGGAGAGTGCTGCTAAGGCTCTATTTATAATACGTCCTTGAAAGCTGAGGGCAACTTCTGTGAGTTAACAAAACTGGCAGGTAAGGAGAGGAGACACAAGGCAGGGGTCATCCCCGGTGAGAACCACAGGATGAAATGGACAAGTGTGAGCGCGCACAGGTGCACTCCTTAGCAGTCTCACACATGCAACATCCGCATTCAAATGAGTGAAGAAGAAGGCAGCACAGAGATCCATGAAAGGAAGGGGCAATGTGTGAAACACGATGAAGACCCAATTCATATTTGGCAGGTGGAAACAAAGAGCAAAAGGATGGAAGGAGGAAGGGAAAGAGGAAGACAAGAATTCACAGGAACTGCAAGTTTAGTGAGAAAAACATGAAACTTGGAGTCAGGAGACCTTAATTTGAAGCCTGGCTCCAAATTTATTTGAAATCTGAGCTTGGACAAGTTTCCTGACCTTTCTGAATTTTGGTTTCTTCCTCTCTCAAGTGGGTGTAGTGTTTCCTTCCCAGCTAATCTCACAAGATTGCTATAAAAATAAAATGAAATAATGGCTATGGAAGAACTTTGTAAACTGAAAATACCAGCCACACAGGAGGCACTCGGCATCACTGTCACAGCAGGCTTATTTTTAGAGTGCTATCTGCCAGCCCCTGTGACATGCTCTATATTACAGCATTTAACCTCGCAACCATCTTGCAGATACAAACTGTTTTTATTCCTTATCCTTCTGTACGGATCAGGAATGGTAATTTGTAAGAGGTCATATGACTGCTAAGTGATCAATTGGGATTTGAATCAGGCCTGCCTGGAGACAACAGCCAATCTTTTGAACCATTCTACTTCCTTTCAGGCTTTAACGTGGACCCAGTGCCCTTTAACATATGCCAATAAAACAAGGCCTGCCTCCCACCGTTAAAAGATACCATACTAAGTTCCTAGGGCTCCCTTTGTTGTGAGGGTGGCCCTGGCTATGCTTGGGATCAGGTTCTTGTCTCAAGGAGAGACACAGGTAAAAATGAGCAGGAAAGCAAGATTAATTCAAAGTGAAAGCCACACTCAAGGAGTAAGTGTAGGCAACCTCAAGAGACAGACTTGGAATTAGTTGGGTTTGGGGCTGTCCTTTTAATTTATCTGGAGGTACAGGGAGAGGGCAGTATCTGGGGCAGGGACAGACAGCAATGAGGGCAGCCCATTTCTGTACCCTTTCTTTTGTCCTGGGCGTTAGGTGCATGATGAGAGTCGGTGTGCCAACCTAAAGGTCAAGGCAAGGCACCCAGCCTGAAGCCCTATTAGATATTTCCAGCAGGTGCTGGTTCTTAGGCACCAAAACCCCAGCAGCTGTGGTTTGCCCACAGAGGTGGGGTTTTGGTGGTACACAGGAGGGCTGTGGTGCATGTGTTGGAGATCCAGAGTTCTTCTTTGCTAGCCACCTCCCTGCCCACCTTACCTAGACAGAACACCATAGCCTGGGTCATTTACATAGCAGAAATGAATGTTCTCACAGTTCTGAAGGCCAGAAGTCCACGTTCAAGGTGCCAGCAGGGTTGGTTTCTGGTGAGGGCTGTCTTCCTGACTTAGAGTAGCTGCCTTCTCCCTGTCCATGCTTTCCTGCTGTCGCTTCCTCTCCTTGGAAGGCCACTATTCCAATAGAACTATGCACTGCACCCTTATGACTTCATTTAACTTTAATCACCTCCCTAAAGTCTCTGTCTTCAAATACAGACACACCTGTGCTAAGGTATTAGTATATGCATGTAAGGGGACAGAATTCAGTCCATAATAGACAAGGAATTGACAGATACTCCAGGGCGGGCACTTGGCCTAGTAGCTAAGATACCCACATCCCATATCAGAGGGCCTGGGTTCAAGTCCAGGCTCTATTTCTGATTCCAGCCTCCTGCTAATGAAGACTAGGGGAGGCA